GAGCAGTTTGGGTGTAAAAGACCCCGAGTAATGACACAAGAGTTTAGGAAAAGCAGGGGAGCCTTGAGAGCATTTCTCTGTTTGCTGTTTGGCCTCTAAAATGTAAGAACATTACACATTTGACAGCAGAATCTCGCTCAAACAGGAAAAGCCAATTGTCCCGAGCCGATCCCAAAAGACACGTCTTCAGCCCTGGGAGAAAATCCTGATTAGAAAAGGTTTTCAGAGTTTTTCCCCCCCCCCCAAGTAACAAATTCTGCTTTAAACTAAAGGGTTGAAAATATTGTGAATTCCGACTGCAAAAGGAATCTAAGACGGGTCAAGATGTGCTTTCATGTCTTTACTAAGGTTGACAAAAGTATTGATACTCAAAAAAGTATCAATAGTAAAAACGTATCCGGATACAATACTCATTTTCAAAAGTATGGATACCAATAGGAAGATCCAAGGCAAGAAAATGGTAATTGCTTAATGACAATATAGACATTAATTTACAAATAGTGAAATTAATCTGGCAAACATTGAATTAAACTCTATACATAATATTATGTTAAAATAGTGGATGTTAAATAGGTTTGTACAATAAGTCCAAACAAGTTTAACCAAAAAACATTTATTTCTCACAATTAAGAAGGGTGGAGGGTCAGGGTTAGGGTTAGGGTTAGGGTCAGGGTTAGAGTTAGGGTAAGGGTTGGGTTTATGTTAGTGGTTAGGTTTAGTGTTATGGTCAGGGTTAGGTTAGTGGTAAGGGTTAGGTTAGTCGAGAGGTTTAGGGATACGGTTATTAATGTGGGCCACCGGCCACGATAACATCAGTAATAATCAGTAAGTTTGAAACGAAAGACAATAATCTTCAATTTTGGGGTCTTTGTTTTTATCCTTGTGGTATCGAAAATTGTGTTGAAAATGGTATCGAGTATCGAATATTTTCCTGAGTATCGGTATGGAGTTGAACATTTTTGTATCGTGACAACCCTAGCCTGTACATATAAAATAACTTATAAAAGAACTCATCAGTATGAGGAATCACCACCAACCAACAACAAACGCACAAAGCTCCAATCTGCCTATTGAGCCGGCTGTGTTCTGCCTTTACCTCCTCCCTGTGGGGGGGTGAGGGGTCCTGCTCCTCCCCGTGGCCCCCCCCGCTTTGGCAGGATCCTCCGCTCTTACAGCTCCCGCTGCAGCTCCTCCTCCTCCCCCCGCCCCGTGCCATAGCCTGCAGGCGGCTCAGGAACCGGCCCTTCCAGGCCTGGAAGTCGGCCTGGACGCTCCCGTTTCGACTCTTCACCACGTTGCAGTCGCCCTCCGCCCGGGTCATCACCCGCCGGGCACTCAGCATCCACAGCCACTTGTCCACGTTTTTGCCCACCTGGAGGCAGAGAAGCAGGCCGGAGGACACTGAGGGAAAGAAATATATCCACTACCTGTCCTTTGAACCCGTTTCAATAAATATAAATAGAAAAATAAATGTATAAATGTATATATGTATAGAATAGGCTTGTCCAATATCTGGATCGGATGCCGATATTTGCAAAAAAATGCGTAAAAGAACTAAAACTAGAGCAAACAAGAGCTGATTAATGGGAGGCTTTGTAATTAGTTCATCACAATTAATCGCATCTTTATGAAATGTAACTGGTTAAACTGAATTCTGAAAAATCAAGAAAGCTCAATGTAAAATTATTTAATTCAGAGGATCAAAAGAGATGCAGTGTTCTGTTAAGTCCAGTATCTCAACCTTATAAAGCCCAGAAAGTTTCCTTAAAACTGAGAACCGGTAATTAAACATCTCCATTGTCTGGTCCCGATCCGATATCTGGATCAGATCAGATCCAGACTTCAGATCCAGTTTTTTTTTTTAAGTCCGATCCCACACGAGCATTAGCGTTAGCATCTGCTAACCCACAGGTCTGTCTCCTAACCATTAAATTGTTATCAGAGTAAATCCCTGATCAACATGAGTGTGACAACTAAGTAAGTAGAATAATACACTTTAAACTATAATACATGCTCTGATATATTATTATATATATGATATATTATATTATTATAGCTGTGTCTTACTGTATTATAATGGCCGACGTAGACGGAGTTGCCCAGACCGAATACTGCGTATCTGAGGCCTTTGAGGTAGGTCTTCCCGTATCGAAAGTCGGTGGAGGCCTCTTCCAGCCACTTGCAGAACCACTGGGCGCTCTGGGTGGGCTGCCCGTCGGTGTAGGTGGCCACCAGGAAAACGCAGACCGACTTACTCACACACTGACCGGAGAAACCCAAAGAAGGAGCAGTTACCAAAGGAAAGCTTTACCAAACAGAGTCGGTCTGGTCTTCACTGGATTCAATTCAATTCAATCTTATTTTTATAGCACCAAGAAATAACAACAGTCATCTCCCAGCTTTCCAAACAGAGCAGGTCAGACTAGGATCCAGACACCAGATCCACTTTTTTAAGTCCCATCCCACACGAGCATTAGCATTAGCATCTCCTAACCCACAAGTCTGTGTCCTAACCATTAAGTTGTTATCAGAGTAAATCCCTGTTCAACATGAGTCTGACAACTAAGTAAGTAGATAAATAACTTTAGACTTAAATACATGCTCTGATAGGCCGGGATCTGTATCGGATGGGGAAAAAAGCTGGATCAGGACATCCCTAGCTCAGACCAGACTCTGTAGTTATTTACAGAAGAACAACAATTCCCACCAAGAGCAGCACTATGAGACACAGGGAAGGAAAAACTTCCTTTTAAGAGGCAGAAACCTGGAGAAGAACCATGGCTCAGGTTGGGGGTGAGAGAGAAAGAGAGAGAAGGACAGAGGGAGGCAGCCTACACAGTAACACACAGACTGGATGAAAACTAGTAACGATATTGATACTAATGATAATTATAGCTGTTATAATAACAATAAGACTATGAACAATGGCTGTAATTGTAGCAGACTTTAGGCGACTTTACATTTTTAACTTGGTTGTGTGGAACAAAACATGAATCGATGGACTAAAGTTTCCCCGTCGAACAGCAAGGAGACAGATCTGCTCATCTAAAAATCAGGGAAACAAATAAAACCTGCAGTCTCAGTTTATTGTGAATGTCTCCTTTAAAAGAAAAGAAGCTGCAATTGATTTGACTCAGTCGGGACAAAGCACGTCCACATTGAACTTTACTCACCTCATCAGCCAGCCGGTCATCCGGGTCGTAGTCTTTCATGTCAATCACCTCGGCTGGAAAACCCAAAGTCTTCACCTCCTCCGACAGCTCTTTTGCAAAACCCTAAACAGAGAGAGGGTTTCCACGGTGAGCTCATGTGCGAGGTTTCCACATTTGTGAGGAGGTTTTGAGCTGGCAGGAAGTGAAAGGAAGCTGTGCCTTAGCTGTTCCAGTCTGAGAGCCGAAAAAGATCTTAACCCCCGACACGTGAACCTCGGCCTCCTTCCGGGTTGCAGGTGGGTGGACCAACAGACCGGCACCTTTTGAGAAGATTTGCTGGAAAAACAAGGCAGAAGGGGTGGTGTTTTTGGTAAAAAAAACCTCCATAATACAAGATCCCAAATGTTTCAAAGCACGGGTGGTGTGTGAATAATAAAACCTAGGAGCAAGTTTGGGAAAAAACAGACAAAAAAACAGGAAAGAATGTGTCACAAAAGCTCCCAGCTCACCTTTTTTAGTGCCACCTTCAGTGTGAACCAGACCCCAAAGACCAGAGCAGCGGCTGAGTACAGATACAGCCTGTTGTGCCACAGCAACATGGGGTAGTTGTCACCGGGACCGTGGGCATCTAAAGGGGGACAACACGGTCGGTAACGTGAACAAAAGGACCACAGTTATGCTGGACAACAGCTAACACAAAGTCAGCACAACCCCGAGGAAACGTTGCTTTCTCTGACTTGCAACAGCTTCAGGGCGAGTGAGAGGTTAGCATCACATGCTAACTGAAAACCTTAGCTATAGCAGGACGTAAAAGCAGTTTCCGGCTCCGTTAAGCCTCGAATAAACTCACCTTTCGTGTCCAGAGGAGACACATTCCCAACGAAAAGCAGAAGCATAGCAAAAAGACTGGGCATCGCTGCAAATGGCAAATATGACTAATAAAAGCCACTGTCTTCAAAAGCTTAAGCTGCAGAAGGCAGCCATGATGTTTAGCCGAAGGGCATGCTGGGATATGCTGTTCTTCATCTGTATTTTTTTTTTAGGCTTAAAACGTTTCTCCATGTACTGCATTTTTTGTTTTTTTGTTTTTATCTATTTATTTGTTTGTTTGTTTGTTTGTTTTTGACAGATTTAAGGAGCAACTGCCTAAAAAATGAAGAGGCATTTTAAAAAATATCTTAGGAAAGAGTTTTAAATTTGTTTTGCACATCATCAGCGGAAAGTTATATGAACAGTGTGATGTAAGGATGTTATAAGGTGATTGATATTTGTCATAAAACAACGTTTACTTGAGAATTTAAAAATATTTTTGACACAGCCATACATTGTCTACGCGTTTCCGCCATCTAGTGGCCAGAAGACCAAACTGCATATATTCAATTTGTATAGTTGGAGTCAAATTTGCTAAAACACCGTGGTAACTTCTCAGGCCACTTAGTAAAGCTTAAGAAAAATAACACAAATTGTGGTTTAAGAAATTCCTTTAACCTGCTGAAAAATACACACTATTTTCCTCACTCTTGTGTGGTGAGTAATATTATTGTACATCCGGTGGTTAGCTAGTATTCGTTGCCGTATCAACGCCAAATTAAACATATAATTTAAAGTTTTTATAACAAGTTTTCTATTTGGTGTGTTTTAATACATTGTGTAGATGTTTCCGCTCTAAAAACAAAGTTATCCCCTGTTGACAAATTAGACGAGCGGAACGTTTGCTGCATACGTTTGTTTCAAGTAGGACCGAAATTGAAAACACTCTTGGGTGAGACCGACGTTGTTGTTACTGACAACGTACTTTACTTCTAGGTAGCACTGTTGGCACAGCGTTGTGCCTTTTATAACACAGAAATGTCTATTTTTACGCCCACGAATCAAATCCGGCTGACCAACGTGGCCGTGGTCCGGATGAAAAAAGGAGGGAAGCGCTTCGAAATCGCCTGTTACAAGAATAAAGTTGTGAGCTGGAGATCTGGAGCGTGAGTCACCCCCACAACGTCTAAAAGACGTCTGATTTACGAAGAATATTGATTGTTATTTTTTTAAATCCCAATAGTTCCATTACAGATACGTTTAGCAGGGATGCGATCGTTAAATAAACAACGTTTTTTCGGTGTTTTCTTCTAGAGAAAAAGACCTGGATGAGGTTCTGCAGACCCACTCTGTTTTCGTCAATGTGTCTAAAGGTCAGACGGCCAAGAAAGAAGATTTGGTGAAAGCTTTTGGGATGGATGACCAGACAGAAATCTGCAAACAGGTATGTGATTTTAAATATACTGCTCCATCTTCCTAAAGCTTCCCCCTCCCATTTCCTGAAGAGCTTTCCCTGTTGTTTCAGATTTTGGCCAAAGGTGAGCTCCAGGTGTCAGACAAAGAGAGGCAGAGTCAGCTGGAAACCACGTTCAGAGACATTGCAACCATCGTGGCGGAAAAATGTGTCAACCCCAACACGAATCGGCCGTACACGGTCAGCCTGATTGAGCGGGCCATGAAGGACATCCATTACTCCATAAAGGCCAACAAGAGCAGCAAGCAGCAGGTGAGAGGGCCCTTTACTCCCCAGACTTGATCAGTAACACCTTACTATTCCCTAAATTGACCAGGTTTCACTGTAATTAGTCATTATACAGTAGGTTAATAACATTAAAAAAGAGAAAGATGTTCAAACTAGAGCTGATAAATGGGAGGCTTTGTAATTAGTTCATCACAGTTAATTGCATCTTTATGAAATATAACAGGTTAAATTGAATTCTTAAAAAGCAGGAAAGCTCAATGTAAAATGATTTAATTCAGAGGATCAAAAGAGATGCAGTGTTCTGTTAAGTCCAGTATCTCTACCTTATAAAGCCCAGAAAGTTTCCTCCTTAGTCTCCATAAAACTGAAACCCTTACTAATTAAACATCTCTATTAGGCTGGTCCCGATCCGATATCTGGATCGGATCGGCCGGCAGGAGAAAGTGCAGATCCAGACTCCAGATCCAGTTTTTTTAGAAGTCCGATCCCACACGAACATTAGCATTAGCATTAGCATCTCCTAACCCACAGGTCTGTGTCCTAACCATTAAGTTGTTATCAGAGTAAATCCCTGTTCAACATGAGTCTGACAACTAAGTAAGTAGATAAATAACTTTAAACTTTAACACATGCTCTGATAAGCCGGGATCGGGATTGGATCAGAAGTTTAAAAAACCTGGATTGGGACATTCCTAATCTCAATCTGAATTCGTAAACTTGCTCAAAAAGTTCTCAGTGCTTTTCTCTTTGAAAGAAAAAAAAAAGGGAGTCGTTTGGTTTCGAACAACTCCGGTTTAAAGATGAGAGCAGGGCGGGTTTTTCTGAGTGGGGGTCCCGTTGGGTATCCCCAGGCTCTGGAGGTGATCCGGCAGCTGAAGGAGACCATGGAGATCCAGCGGGCCCACATGAGGCTGCGCCTGGTGCTGCCCGCCAAGGAGGCCAAGAGGCTGAAGGAGAAGCTGAAGCCGCTCCTGCAGGTGGTGGAGAGCGAGGACTTCGACGAGGAGCTGGAGATGGTGGGTAAAACCCCCCCCCACACACACACGCCCCCACCCCACCCGCTTTAAAGGGGACATATTATGCAAAACCAAGTTTTTAATCATGTAATTATGAACATTTGGGACTGTGGAGGGCCTATCAGCAGGCAAAGTGTGAAAAACAATGACTGGGTCATGTTTTTGTGGGCCGCCTCAGTCTGAAACCAGGAGATAAATCAGGAGGTTTCAGGAGTGGGTAGTTTCTGACGTCATTAGCTCTAGCTCATTATAATATTCCAGCCTTTCACCTGCATGTTGCCCCCCCCCCTCAGCTTACTCCCCTATCTGTGGAGACGTCGTGGTAGCGTGAGCGTTAGCGTGGTAGCGTTAGCATGGTAGCGTTAGCATGGTAGCGTTAGCGTGCCGACGTGGGCACACCTCCCTGAAGAAGTGGGTGGATTGCCTGTGTCTCATTTGCATTTAAAGAGACAGGCACTCCAAAGCGAGCGCTCTGAACGGGGCTGTTTTGGGTTAGGGTTAGGGTTAGGGTTAGGGTTAGG